CTACAGTGTTGTTTACCTTCTGTGATGCGTGAGCTGATGACGTCGCGTCATCATCATCACTACTTCAGGTCAAGACGAGTTAACTTTTTTTTTTCTCAACTTTGTGTGGAAAAATGCGGGGATTATGCGGCCTTTTGATAAATATGCGGCCTTTTAAAAATCGTAAATTCTGCGATCGCAGAATCGCGTTTTTCTGGAGGGTCTAAATGGCATAGCAGGTAAAAGAGGCATGCAATAATAAAGACTGAGCTCACTTATGAATATAGGTAGAAAAACACATTTGTAGTACAATTGAAATCAAGACAAATTAGTACACATCCATGGCTAAAAATGAGTAGCAGCAATTTAAAAACACGAAGTTACATAAGTATTATATTGTGTTGAGACATTTGAGAATGTGATTGTATTGCACAATCAGTGTACAAAAGTGGTGGGGACACAAACAACTTAGATGTTTATATATAAGCTTCTGCTGCTTTTTTAAGCACGTAAACAAATAGCTGTAGGCTATCCATGGTTCTGATAGATAGAGAGAGAGAGAGAGAGGGGGTGGGGGGTATTTTTTGCATACTGTCGGAAGCCTTGAATAAAGAGCACGGAGCAACACTGTGAGCGCATACATTTATGTACACAGCGTGGGGATGTCATATTGTAATGCACCTTAATACATGCAGTAAAGGGCACCATCACAAAGCAATACTTATAAGGAAAACACAGACACTCATCACCGAGGTCACAATATCAATCGATCCAGCAGAGCAATAGCCTATAGGCAAAGCACAGAAAATCAACAAAAGATATGACATCAAATGAACTTACCAAAGCTGCAGTAGAGGTTCACTTCATTCATTTTCTTTCCGTTTCACAGATTTTAATCGCTATAAGCTGCTCCCTCTCGTCTCCTCTTCACAACTACACTTTTCGCGGCACACATACTTACAGCCAATCAGTTCTTAATTATGAGATGACGTTTTGGTGGGGTTGCCAGCACTTTTCCCTACTGGTGATAATTTTTTTGCGGTGTAGTTTTTACAGCACCCATTCATTTTGACAGCAGAGAGAGGGGCTTGATCGGGGCTTGCCCCACATCGCTCAACATGGCTCAATAGGCACACTGTAGAAACTGATTAGAAGAACGCAGACTAAAACAGCAATGTACAGACCAATCAGATGACTAAACATGATCTTAAAATATATTTTAAGATATATATTTTTTGCATATTTTTGGAATTATTATTTGAATGACTTTCTGCTGACACTAGGTTGGGCTGTGCCTGCCCCTAATGACGAGTCGCCACTGGGCACAATTCAGGTTTATTGCACAAGGTTGCAACAGTCCGTAATGTGTTATTATAATCTGCTTAAAACACTGTATAATTGTAAATGGAAAAAACTCATAAATATTCATAAGGCTTTTTTAGAACAATCATGCAAAGTTTTTTTGTCAATCCTCAATTATGACAACAACTATGATTCCCCCTGATTCCGGTCTTTATGCTTAGCTAAGTTTTTCTTCTCATCTAATCTCAGCAAATTAACAAATAAGTGTATTTAAAAAAAAAAAAAAAGTCAAACTAAGTTGAACTTGAATTGTTTTCCTTTCTAGACCTTGATGAATGACGAGATACGTTTGCAAAAGATCCAGCAGCAGCTGCAGCTGATTCAGGCGGTGAACGAGGTGCTGCTCATCATCTTCAGCACCGTCGGGGGGGCAATCCAGGGTCTGCCCCTCCTGTCCGGCCGCCTGAAGAGGATGACCGGTGTGCTGCTGGAGGGGATGCACAGCCCGTCAGTTGTCTTTTTTGTATAACCATGATCTAAAATTATTTTACATGAAAAAAGAGCTCTAACCAGAACCTTCCTCATATTCTCTGCAGGGACTTTAACCAGGAGGAGGCACTAGAGGGCGTCAGTGCTCAGATCTGCAGCGAGCTCAACAAGTCTTTGACAGAGAGGAGCTACCCCCCGCTGTCCCCCGCACTGCAGGCCACCCTGACAGGCCAGATTCTCAGCATCACTCAGAAGGACAACCCCATCCGCACTCTCGTTGGTAAGAGAGGATGCTGAGTGATCCAAATTAAAGAGGATTATGCATCAATGTCAAAAATGAATAGTATATTTATATTATGTCATGCAACAGACAGTTTGATACATACTTTTTTATACTCATTAAAACTCACCATTCCTGCCTCGGCCCGCGGCAGATAACTGGATGGCCTACCTGCCCGTCAGCCTTCCATCTCGTGCACAAACTTATCTCGTGCCCTCATTGGTCATGTGCGCGTTCGTGTGTGTTGGAGGAGGGGCTCTGTAAGGAAGTCTGAAGGAAGGGGCAGATTTTTTTCGACTGCGTACTGTCAAATTCTAGCGCACTCGAGCTGGTTTCTCCATTCTTACCTACCCTACCTTTAACACATTAACAATTAAACATGCATGCCGTCTAGCAGGCGGTACCACAGCATCAGGAAAAAAAACACCAGACTCAGGATCAGTTTCATCCCACAGGCAATAAGACTATTAAACACCTGAGTTTGCACTATTTTTATTAGTATTGTTGTTTTTTATATAAAAAATGTTATGTCTTGTAATTGCCCTGTTGAGGAACCTGCGATCTAAATTCATACATTACATAACTACACCTGGTTGTGTATATGTTATGACAATGAATCTTGAATGCATCCTCAAGAAGATATTTTTTATTAGCTTTCCCAAACATGGATTTCTTCTTTGCATTTCCTAACTGCTTGTTCTCTTTGTTTCCGTGCAGAGGACCGTGTGCAGCAGTACTTCATGGTACTCATCTGTGATCCTAAACCTCAGAGCAAACTTGAACAAGTACCAGTTGGCTTGACTGCTATCAAGCCTGAACTAGCATGTTTGGGAGCAAGGTTCATCTCTCTGGTTAACTACAATATAACAGTTTATGGACCTACCTATGGGGGTATCTTACGGAAGCTGATGTTCAACAGCAGCCCGCCACCAGCAAACCCTCCTCAGGACACCGCTCAGGACTCAGTCACCTCCAAATAAAAATAAATCCTAATTTTGAATTATGCTGTCTTAGTGTTTCTTCTGCTTGTGCTCGAGAGCGAAAAAAGTGTCCAGGATTTTGCAAAATAAAGAGTTTGTCTGCATGAGTATCTTTGTGTTTGACTTATATATTTTAGTTTTGACTTGAGTTTTGGTTGATAATTTCTCATAAGTTTTATTTACTACTTTGACTTATTATGTACCATGGAAATACTTGTTATGTTTTTAGTTGCTATGTTTGTTACATATTGAGGTACTGTAGTTGTTACAGTATTGCAGTGTTGGCTGTTAGAACCCGTGGGGACAGGAGAGATGCTAAAGCAGATGTGTACTTTTATAAAGATTTAACGTGAATATATCGGAAATTGTTTTTCTTTTTTTCTGCCCCCAATTAATATAATAAATGATTATATAAAAAGAAAACATTTGACCAGTTCTTCATTTATTTGAGGAAAATATGTGTAGATGGGTATCACACAATATATATAAAATGGAAATATGGTTCCATGTTATCTTGAAAGTCGTACATTGTATTATTGCATAATATTTAATCTCGTAAAAACATTGACCTTGTGTGATTGTGTTTTAGCTTTAATGCTGTTCAATTATTACATAGATTCATAAATTAAAATTGACAAAAGTTACATTCAACCATAATACATAATATTAATGATGTTACATCGGATAATGAATACAAATTTGATTTTTACAATAACAATTGCTGACTAGACTGTTGAGGTAAGATGGGAAGTTATGATCAACAGACATGTTAGATTTACAACGTTTTAATAGGATGTAGACCAAATTCATTTCAAGTAGCTGCTAATTTTGGTTAAAAAATTTAACTACAGTGGTGGAATTTTGCTCCACAGATCTTTTATAATAAATTAGTCGAGCTTTGCAGGTCTGAAAACAAGCCTATTTATTTTAAGCATTATACAGTAAATCTTTCAGGTTGCATTATCAGTTCATCCCTTTTCTGTGGAATAAACAACATGCTCTCATCTCCTGCTGTCACTAGGCAGCAATGCTACCTTTACATGCCGTTCAAAAATCTTGCAATTCAGGGGGTTGTAAATTAAATTAACACTTTTTGGATTACCAAGCGTTGTAAAATGAACATGGTGAACACCATTTAGACTGTTTACAATTTCAGAAAAAAGGTTCTGTAAACAACAGATGGTTAAACTATGTATAGATACAATGAATGGCTAAAGTATCGCGGGGAATACCGGAGACAACACACAAAAGAAAGGAAACCATTATTTCCGAGCAGAGTAGTGGTCCTTTAAGGCAGCATCAGTTTGCCCAGTTACAGTTTAGTGAAATGCATGACCTCATCAGTCACATGGCATAATGTCGCCATTCCATTGGCTGCTTCACACGGGGGTAGTTGTTTTTGTTGTGAATCAGGAAGCTGTCTTATTTCCTAGCAGGGCGTGTAGTAAAACGTTAACAAGAGGAATTAATAGCCCTTTTACTCACTGGATTTTTCAAAACGTGACGTACACCATATACAGTTCAACACAGACCCTCATTGGAAAGAAAATAAGATATTTGTAAGTATTGTAGTTACTTTCTTTGTTTCATTTTCCAGCAGCAGGGAATAAACTTGTCTAGGCAAGTACTGAAATGAACACTGTGTGTCAGAGAAACGCAGGTGAGAGATAAGGAGAAGGGTTGCGATAATATAGGCAGTTAGAGCCATGACGTGCAGTTTCGACAGTATATTCCCTTTCGCATTTAGTGACAGACACTGAAGAGCTGTGTAAAAGTGGCTGGGCTCTCTCACTTTGTTGTTGTGGAGGAGACATTATTAACCTGGTAGGTTAGGTTAGGTATTTGAACGTTGAATGTATTACTTTAGAATGAAATAAACTAAACGCTCTGAAATGCAGAGGTCGGAGAAGTACTCAGATGTTGTACTTCTAAAAGTAGAACAAGTATTGGCATTAAAATATACTGTGCCATGAGGAAAAGTACTAATCGCATATTGACCCATTTAAGAATATATGTTTTGATTATGATTATTGATGCATTCATGTGTCAATCAGAGCTTGTATAGTTATTTCTTGCGGTTCCTCTTTTTGTATTTGTATATTCATAGAAGTAAAACTTCATAAATCCAGTTGTCAGTATACTTCCGTGTATTTTTGGGTCCGTCATATAGGTCTGCAATTAACATTTGGTTTCATTTTCAATTAGTTTCAGTCTAGTATTGCTGTAATATATATATATTTTTTAAGAAAATCTACTTTCAGTTAAAAAAAATAGATGACTCATATCAAAACTCTTTCAGATTAGTTGTCTGTCACTCAAGCAATGATATTCCAAGGTTTAGAGTGTAAGAACCTGTCTCAAAAAAGGCTAAGATATGTTTGCTGTTCAAACCATCATGAGTGGAAGTTATTACTGTTCTTCTGCTGGAATGGGAGAAAGTCCCTGCTGCACGAAATCTTGGGAAAAGGCTGTAGAATGGATTTGGAATAAGATTTAAAAACATATGGCTTTAATGTTAAGTATCCATATACTTTTGACTGTATATTTTTCCCTTTCAAATGCATTTTCAGTGACACAGGGTCCTGCATGGTTGCCGTGTCGTGCCGAGATGGCTCTGGAGGAAAGGGCTCGGAGCTCTCTGCTGCGCTTCCGCCACAGACTGGAGCAGGACATCAAACCCTCTTACCTGATGGATCACCTGATAAGTGACGGCGTGCTCACTGTGGACGAGGAGGAGAGGATCAAGACCCAGGTAAGCCTCTGCTCAAGGTGGGGAGGGGGAGGAGTCATTATTTATCAATCGTGTTGCTGATTCTTTTAACTTGCCACCAAATGATAGCAGGAAACAACTTTTGTTTCAGATTTGTCCCTGTTTTCCTCCACTAAGACATTGTCATTGTTTATGTAGTGAATCACTCTCCTTATGATTTACTCTGTTTTAATGTTTTCCCAATTGATCTCCCTTTTTATGTCCAGAAATTCAAGATGTTGTTGACAAAAATCTCTTCACCTTTCTTCTCTCTTGCTGTGGTTGTGACAGTCTTGTCATTTTTAAATAGCTCTGATCTTTTCCAGTCGTAGTCCTGAATGAAACTGCATGTATTTATTGTCTATTTCTAATGTATCACTGGCGTATAGGACTTTTGACTATAAGGGAATTTCATGCTTTTATGCTATTACAGAAGGAAATCAGAAAACCTTTATTTGTCACGCAACTGGGACATTTCCGGTATTACGACAGCAAGAGTTTAGTGCAGATTATTTAGAAAGAGTAGGCTTACATTTTACATAAAAAAGTAGCCACATGTTATAATTAATAAAAACAAAATAAGTAAAAAAACAAACAAGTAACAGATACGGTTACCATGGTGAAAAAAACTAAGAAGCAGTTAATACAAATACAAAATAAAAGTATATACAGAATATAGAGTAGCTGGTACTGTTTACAGATTGAAAAATAAATTGAAAGAAAAATAAAGCCTCAATTTCAGGAGGGTATATTGCACATCGCTTTATGTTTACAGGCAGTGTTATTTATTGCACATCAGGGGTATTCCAATTTACAGTGAGTTTTAGATATTGACATTCACATATTTAACACCTTGTTCAGTGTCATTTTTCAAATCATGGATGTTTTTACCAGCTCATATGAGAATCTTCAAAATAGCAGCATTTAAAAAGCACATTTTAAAGTTTACATCTCACCTCTGTTATCTCTCTCTCTCTCTCCAGCCCACCAGGAAGGATCAGGCCGCGGCGCTGCTGGAGCTGCTGCTGAGGAAGGACAACCGAGCCTACATCTCCTTCTACAACGCCCTGATCACTGAGGCATACGAAGACCTGGCCAATCTGCTTCATGGGGATTTACCCCAAATATCACAAAGTGCACTTAAAGGCTCCTCTGATGGCTGCACCCCTACTGGTGAGAAAGGGAAGTGGTGTGCAGTGACTATTGTTTGTACTGTAGGTGCTATTTTGATTGAGCATGTTGCACTACTACAGTAGCTCAATACATCATGAGATAGAAAGTATGGTGATTGACAGCCTCACATCTTGTCGGTTAATCCCTCCCCTGTTTGTCTATCAGTCCAGGCCGTGCTGAGTCAAGGCGGTGTACCACAGAGGCCCGTGGTGTTTGTCAGCAGACTGGAGCTTGTGAACCGGGTCAGGGAGAAACTCTTCCTGGTGGAGAAGGCTCCCGGCTGGGTCACCGTGTTCGGCATGGCCGGCTCGGGAAAATCCGTCCTGGCTGCTGAGGCTGTCCGGCACCAAGGAATCATCGAAGGTGAATACTTTTTCACTGGCTTACACAAACTGTCACAACAAAACCTCCAATAAATGATGTAGCTTAAGAGGCTAACCTTGGCTCATCATTGTGACTCTTTCACAATACGCAGTCCGTGCTATAGAAAAAAGAAAATAAAGAAACAATAACCAAAGTAGAACCATTCAGTCAGCAAAATGTATCCGAACCAAATCAGAGTCTTTCTGTTTCCACACACCCCAACAGGTGGACTAAACACCTTAATCCACACCCAGGGGACAATTGACGGAAGTGACATTTAGTGGTGTAAACAAATTATTAAACAAAAAATCAACAATGACCAAATGCTCCATAGTTTCTCTTTGGATAACTGGACACACTCAACATTTATTTTTATTTAATATTCCATTCACTGCACTCTTAATGTAAATAATATCCTGCTTTATATTGTGTCTAAAGCCCTTCAATAGTGTTTTATTGTCAGAGTTTATAGATTTGTTATCTTCACGGCCTGCTGTATATTTTCTACTTTTTAACGCTGCTTTAATTCCATTTTGAGATCTTTAAATTCTAGTATTGTTTATTTCTATTCTTTATTTTCTTTAATGCTGCTGCAATGCAAACATCTCCCAAATTGGGATCAATAAAGCACCTCTTATCCTTATCTTATCTTTTAACCGTTTTGGCTCCTACACCAACTTTTGGCAAGCCTTGTTTTAACAACTACGGGAAAATAAGCATTCATAATTGTAGAAATCCGTAACATATGTTTCCTCTCAATAATGATACAAACATATTTCCCGGATTGTCAGTCCTCGGGAGCTTCCACCTCTTGCCTCTGAGATGTTCCCTTTCTCCCCTCTCCTCTTTCTCCATCTGCAGAGTGCTTTCCGGGAGGGGTCCACTGGCTGTCCATCGGCCAGCTGGACAAACCCGACCTGCTGGCCAAGATCCAGTCGTTGTGTTTCCGTCTGGAGCAGAGCATGGACTCGCAGTCCCTCTACAGAACCCCCAACTCTCTGGATGAGGCCAAAGAGCGCCTGCGCTTCCTCATGCTGCGCAGATATCCAAGGTTTTTAGATCAATATTTACATTTGACAGCAAGGCAAGGCAAAAGGAGTAATATCAGAATCAGAATACCTTTATTCAGGGGAAATGTACATTGTTACGGCAAAAGTAAAGGGCCAAAAAATAGCCTAATATTAATTAAGAAGCATGCACAAGATATTAAAGATAAAAATTGAAATTACAATTTACAAAACACACATCCAGTACCAGTATCAGTATTTAAAGAAAATAAGGCTAGCATGTATAAAATAGTGTGACACAGTAGCAGCCTGGTGATAGTATATATTGAACCGTTATTTACAGATTTATTACAGAAGTTGAATTGTCTAACTAATATGTAACAACGGCAACAACAAATTGATACCACCCCATTATTTGATGAAGACAAGTAACCCCATGTTCTACATTTATTTCAACATTCAAAGCTTCAATGAAAGTTTTTCAAGTTAAACTTCTTATTGTTGCCCCACCAAAAGATTGCCTTACATCTTTAATGAATAAAGTTATCGGATTAAATAATTTTAGCTTTTTTTCTTATCCAATCAGCTGTCTTTAATCTAAAATGTTCTGGTTTTCTTGTCTCTCATCGCCTGTCTGTTTCTGATTGGTCTTCAGATCCCTGCTCATTCTAGATGACGTCTGGGACACTACAGTGCTGAAGGCCTTTGATATCCACAGTCGGGTTCTTCTGACCACCAGAAACAGAGCCCTTGCTGACTCTGTTAGTGGTACGTGTCCTCTTTTTCTGCTTTACACATGCACACTTCAATGATTTAAACCTCCTGTTATTCATTTTAATTTACACTGGCAAAGACTTCTGTGCCTACAAAATGTATGTGCTGTGCTTTTATTTTGTAGGAGTCAAGTACCAGGTGGAAGTGGAGAGCGGTCTGGATGAAAACAAGGGAATGGAGATCCTTGCTCTGTACACTAAAACTGAAGTCTGTGCGCTTCCTGAGGACGCGCGCAGCATTGTCAGAGAATGCAAAGGTCTGTAAACATAAACATTGCTTCCTTTGTTTCCATCAGGTTCAAGGTTCAAGGCTTTTATTGGTCATACGAACATAGTGTAGTTATGACGATGAAAATCTTAGGTCAAAGGCTCCTCCAACAGTGTGTGCAACAATAATGCAAGTAATACAAAAAGCAAAATAGTGAAAAAAAGTGGAATAGTGCAATAAGAGTCTATATGCAAGTGATTGGAATATGATGTATTAGATAAATAATTTCTAAGTAGCAGCCAGATGAATGTTATGGATGTTGTTTCAAAGTTCAGGTGTTTAAAAGTCTTATTGCCTGTGGGATGAAACTGTCCCTGAGTCTGGTGGTTTTATTCTGGATGCTGCGGTACCGCCTGCCAGACGGCAGCAGACTGAACAGTTTGTGGCGAGGGTGATGGGGGTCTTTGATAATCCTGAGGGATTTCTTCCTGAGCCACTGGGAGTAAAGGTCCTCCATGGATGGCAGCTCCGTCCTGGTGATGTTCTGTGCAGTTTTCACCACCCTCTGTAGACTCTCACGGTTGAGGGCGGTGCAGCTGCCGTACCAGGCCGTGATGCAGCCGGTCAGGATGATCTCTATGGTGCACCTGTAGAAGTTGTAGAGTATCCTGGAGCCCCGAGACGCCCTAAACCAGGGGTGTACAACTCAAGGCCCGGGGGCCAAATCCGTCCCGCATCTTCATTTGAAGAGCTCTGAAAGAATATAATACGTTTATTATACGGTTACATGCTGCTTTACAGAAGCATGTTGCCCATAAACTATATGTCCCACAATGCATCTCACTTTGTGACATGCGCACTGAAGAGACGTGCAATTATTTGCCCTAGACTTCTGCTTTCAGACGTAGTTAATTATGAAGTTATTACCCTAACTGATAATAATCCAATGCAGAGGCAAAAATGTAATATAATACATTATATTATATATTTATAAATGTATATTTATATAGTCTTAAAGTTACAACCGGCCCTTCGAGTGCAACAATAATGCTGATGAGGCCCGCGATGAAATTGAGTTTGACCCCCCTGCTCTAAACAGACAGTTCTAACGCGTTATCTTTTGTTTATTTGTTTTTAAGTTGTGATTGTTTTTTTGCCTACCGTTGATGTTGTAAGACTCGCGTTTAATCAAAATAACATTTTGAACAAAGAAAATAGACCTTTACAATAGTCAAACAAATTAAAACAGAAAAGGCAAAACTCAAATAAAGTAATAAACAATCTAGATCGTCTTTCTATCTTTGTGTTTCAACGGCGTCTTTTGCACAGGATGTGGGGAGATGTAGTCTTTTATAGTCTCGACTACAGAGGTCTCGATTAGGTGACAATATTTGGCCTCTTTTACAATAACAATAGACAGACACTCTATGTAATCCATAATTGTTTTACATATGCAATTGCATATAGAGAGATCTAACATATTTGAATTAATATGACCTGACTTAAGACCTGACTTTATTCTGTATTTATTCAAATTGGCGATTTCAGCTTCTCTTCCACATCATCAGAATATATGGGTTCCTCTTGCAGGTTCCCCCTTGGTGGTCTCCCTGATCGGAGCTCTTCTCAAAGAGAAACCCAACCGCTGGCATTACTACCTCCGCCAGTTGCAGCAGAAGCAGTTCAAGCGCATCAGGAAGTCCTCGTCTTACGACTACGACGCCCTCGACCAAGCCATGTCTGCCAGCATCGAGGTCCTGCCTGACGAGCACCGGGAGTTCTACAAGGACCTCACCGTGCTGGAGAACGACATCAAGGTCCCTGCAAAGGTTCGGCTGCTGTCCCATTACCCTCTTCATTCTGTTCATTTACAAAACAGATTATTTCAAACAACCTTTCTGTTTGCGTCATGGCAAATCTGGCTTACATTATTCGAAGATGTACATGAAACATTGACAGATCCATTACTTAAAGTGGACCTATCATGCTATATTTGAATAATATAGTGTAGGACCATACCTATATAAGGCATATTTATACTTTTTATTTTTCAAAATACCAAACAGATCATGCATTTTAGCCATTCCTCATTTCACTCAATGTAACACTGTCTTTCATGGGCTGATTCTGTGAGAACAGCACCATCTACAGGCCTGGCATATGTACTACAGCGTCTCCAGCGCTTTCCAACGGCAATGTCCGTGGCTGTCTCCTCCTGATTGGTGGAGTTGGCCCAATAGCCGTAGCGCCACTTCTGTGACGTCATAGAAGTGTTCAAATCTGGATCAGTCTGTATCAGATCCGTTGCAGCCCCTTTTTAAGAGATTTGGGTATGGAGGAAAATAGAGAGGGTTGTGTTTTCTGACCCTTGGTGAGTTCCCTGGAATACCGGGGACACATATTCATGTATAAAAGACGTACAAAAGTGCATTTTGCATGATAGGTCACCTTTAAGTAAAAGTACAAATACTATGGTCTTAAGAAAACTAAGTAAATGTCCGGATTTCAAAATGTTACTTAAATAAAAACACAATAAATAATAAGCAATAAAATATACTTAATGTACAAAAGTAAAAGTACTCATTCTGGACAATGACCTGTATCAGAATAATATAAAGTACAGAAGAATGATCAGCTGAATGTACTTCAAGTACTCGTTAAGCAGGATGGATCTTTTCACACTATTATATTATTATGGTTTTTTTTAAATCCCGTTTTTATACATGTAAGATCATTTTAGTATTGTAGTTTGTCAATGTGGACCCAATTTAAATACTTGAAATATTGTGTAGTACTACACTACTGCATTATTCTATATGAGCATAAGTAACTGTGAGTGTTAAAACAAAGGTAGTGGAGTTCAAAGTACAATATTGGCCTCTGAAATGTAGCAGAGTAGAAGTATAAAGTAGCATTCAATGGAAATACTCAAGTAAAGGACAAATACGTCAACTAATAACTTGAGTAAATGTACTTAGTTACTTAGTTATTCCTTCTCCCAGGTGCTGTCTGTTCTGTGGGACCTGGAGCCGGAGGAGGTGGAGGACATCCTGGAGGAGTTTGTCAACAAGTCTCTGCTCTTTGTGGACAATCACAACAAGCCCTACCTGTACTACCTCCATGACCTGCAGCTGGACTTCCTGGTGGAGCAGAACCGCACCCAGCTGGAGGTGAGCTCAGATGCAACCTAACACAAACTGTTGGATTTCAAATCTTGTTAAGTGGGCTGATGTGTATTACTTTGTGTTTTTCAGAGCCTCCACAATAAGGTGGTGCATCAGTACCAGCAGCACTACAGAGACGGGCCCCCCACCTCAGGAGATGAGGAGTGTCTGTACTGGATCAGATTCCTCACACACCACATGGCCAAAGCCAACCTCTCCAAGGTAACACACACACACACACACACACACACACACACACACACACACACACACACACACACACACTTGTATACCAGTCAATTTTACACACATGATAGTTTTAGGTCACACACACAACAAATATGATTAATTAGATATTATCTAAAAAATAGATAAATGCTTAGGTAGTGACCTTGTGGACTTTAGATATACATATTTGCTTCTCTATAACAGGCCATAAATGCAGTATAGAATAATATGTAATAATAATAAGGATCAAATAAAGAATAGTTGCCAAAAATGGGATTTATGCTGTCAATTAAAGTTCTTTGTTAGAAAATTGGAAACGACCCAGTCAGACTTTTCGAAAAATGTGACTTTTCCTGCTCACCGTGTCTCTCTCTGTCTCCCACTGTGTTGCTCACCCTCTCTCCATGTGTAGGAGCTGTACTCGCTCATGTTTTCTCTGGACTGGGTCAGCATCAAGGCCCGGATCATGGGTCCAGCTCACCTCATCAACGACTATGTGGAGTATGGACCCGTTCTGGACAAAGAGGTTAGCAGAAAATAAAACTTTACGCCAAAATATGAGTTTCTGTTTGGGGAAATTGTGGGTTTAGAGGTCCAGTAGTTTAATCAGGTATAGTATAAATACAATATGTATGAACCACCAGAAAACCTCATAACTTAGAATCATTAGTCTAATGTTTGTCTGTGTAGGCTTAACTGTGTTCATATTGTCTGTCCCTCCAGAACAGTGACGTGCGCAGTCACTTCCAGGAGTTCCTCTCTCTGAACGGCCACCACCTGGAGCAGCGTCCGTTCCCTGACGTGGTGCAACTGGCTCTGTCGCAGCCCCACAGCTCCGAGGTGTACCGCCAGGCTCTGCTGCAGGCGCAGGGGGGGGCCCGCACAGGGAGGCTCTACTTTGACTGGCTGTACGCAAGCTCATATATTACTGTCCTGATGTGTGTGTTGTAATAATGAAGTTAAATTAAGGGCTGCATTGACCTTCATATGCAACTCCGATCAGATATATTTAAAATGCAGCAAACTGTTATACATAATATATGCAGCTAAAGTGAGATAAAAGCTACTTAAATGCAGCTTTTATACATTTTCACTCACTTGTTTTTTGTCATGATTTATAGCGAATATTTCATTGCTATCCGTAAGAAAAATTGGCAAAAATTGACATTTTCTTTGAAACCTGCACAGTTACTTTGTGAAATATTCATGACAATTCAATGAAACTAAAATGTATTGATGCAATGGCCACCTATTATCTCATTCAATTATTAAGTGAGATGAATACATTTAATTGGGCATTAAGCCGGATTCGTCCAATGCAAAAATAATGTTATATTCAGCTACATTATACATGTAATATTGTAACCATAGATAAAAACAATTCTAAAAATGAATTTACCAACACTAGTTTTGAAAGTAAAACGTGATTTAGTAAAAAATCACTCCTTTTCTGCACAAAATGAACCCTATTGTACAAAATACAATACAAAAATGGTGATGAAAGGCTGTTTTCCAGGGTTGAACTAATATTTGTGTTGTTTTTTGTTTTTTTTGTGCAGGAATAAGAGCAGTGTGGAGAATCTGTCCCGGCTGGTGCTCCACCCACAGCAGGGCTCCATCTACTCCGCCTGCTTCTCCCACGATGGAACCAGGATCGCCTCCTGTGGAGCCAGCAAGACACTTAAGGTATCACAGCACATTGTTTGTTTCTTTTGAGTGTGTCTGTGTACGGAGCAAACCGTTTCCATGGAGACATAATACTGGAAAATATGAAGGACGATCCACTTTTATTGCTAGATGATGTTATAAAATAAATAATAAAATGCATCCACTTGAAATACACAATGTCTAAGTGTATCTTGTGTAAGCATATGTAAATGTAAATGTGTGGTAAATACACTGTATCAGTTATCTCTAGTATTATTTATGAATTATTCTCAATTACAGGTGAATGTTAGTATTTAGTGTCTCTACACGGACATGTCTCCATGCTTTAATGTAAAAAAAGATCTTTATTTTTCTCATACTGCCTGTGCTGCAGCACCTCTTTTCACCCTCTGTCTGAAACCAGAGTCCAGTCTGCTCTGATTGGTTATCTGGCCAGCTCTGTTGAGATTGGTCAACCACTTAGAGATGTACCACCACCTATCACGTAGAATGTGTTGGAGCGCTATCCAATAGAAGAGCAAGTGTTGCATACTTAGTGATGTCAATATGTTACTGAAGTAAACAAAGAACTACTTTGAGGCAATAGGTTTATTCCCTCTAAAATCATGAGGTTTATAATTCCACTTACGAAGAAGACTTCTTGATTTTTTGTTGTAAAGTTTCCACAGGAAAACAGTGCGTGTTCCTGATGTGTGATACGATATTTCTATCTAAATGTTCTCCACATATTGCTGTAACTGCTGTCATCCTACCTTTCTGCATGCTCAGGTGTTTAGGAGCACCTCAGGTGAGAAGCTCACAGAGATCCAGGCCCATGACGACGAGGTGCTCTGCTGTGCCTTCTCCCCTGACGACCGTCTCCTAGCAACCTGCTCCAGCGACAGGAAAGTCAAGGTAAGTAGAAACCTGATTCCAGCCACAGACAGCAAACACACAAAATCTAGGATTATCAGATGTTATCATATGATTTTTGAAACTGTGTGTCTCTGTGTAGGTGTGGAACGTGGAGCGAGCCATGCTGCTGAGGGTCTTTGAGGAGGAGCATTCAGAGCAGGTCAACCACTGTCAGTTCACCAACACCACAAAGCGCCTCCTGCTGGCCACCTGCTCCAACGACAAGTTCCTGAACGTCAAGGTGTGCAAGTTTACTTAAAGGGGACCTATCATGCAAAATGCACTTTTGTACGTCTTTTATACATGAATATGTGTCCCCGGTGTGTCAGGGAACTCACCAAGTGTTAGAAAACACAACCGTCTCTCTTTTCCTCCATACCCAAATCTCTAAAAACGGGGCTACAACAGATCTGATACAGACTGATACAGATTTGAAAATAGTGTGACGTCAGTGACGAGGAGCTCCGCCTATATGGCCAACTCTCCACCAATCAGGGGAATGAGAGGTTGCCGTGGCATGGTAACAGCATGGTAACATGACGCTCGTAACTCGGCCCCCTCCTTGGCAGGGGGGCGTGGTCAGCTGCAGCGCATGCAAAGACAGGGTGGAGGAGAGCAAAATAGAGCAAAATGAGGCATGGCTAAAATCCATGATATGTTTGGTATTTTGAAAAAAAAACGTATAAATACAATGGCCCTACAATATATTATTCAAATATAGCATGATACTGTAGGTCTCCTTTAAACAAGTCAAACAAGTCAAATATACAGTAACCCTGAGAGGAGAGAGAGAAAAAAAGACTTCTTGTTATCCTTTTTCCAAGTTGGGGAGAAGAACATTTGGATCAGACTTAGAAAAATGTAATGTCTTTTCCTCCCTCTTCTGCATAGTTTGCAAAACACAAGCAACCTTTATCGTCAATTTATCAACATGTCAAAACAAAATGACATTTATGACAAAATAAATGTTACAGAAATACATTTTGTAAATTAGGAAATCACAACAAAACGTGTTTATGCCACTTGCATTGTGTCTGTCCTTGGTTTCGCTCTTTTTGCCATTGTAAAAGTAACGACTTTAGGGAAGTTACTTTACTCATTTTATTACAACCAGCAACTGTTGTGCATCTTCCTCTTTCTAGTTTCTCTCTTCCTGTATCTCTTGTACTTCTTTATCTCCTTCTTACTGTATTTCTCTCTGCTTGCAGCTGTGGAACCTCAACAAGCCCTCCTCCCAGAACACCATGTTTGGTCACTTTGAGCCGGTCAACCACTGCTGTTTCTCCCCCGATGACGCCTACGTGTCCACTTCCTCCAACGACGGTACCGTTAAGGTGACTGCCACAAAGCCTCACACTGTCGCTGTCTTTTCTTTTCTTTTATACTTTTTATTTACCGGCTTATTTCATTAAACAGATGCCTTTTGTTCAGAAAATAAACTCATATATTTACATACATTATAGGCAAATCACAACAGAAAAACTAGAAAAAAATACACAATTTCAACTGAAATACAAAAAGATTCATTAATAAACTAAAGAAAAGAAAAAATGCAATCTAAGCAGTAATATATTTAAAGTTAGATTAAAGCTGATGACAAAGCAATGGCTTCTACAGTTCATTTTTCATATTAGGTCGAACACAATAGAGGGATGATTTCACATATTTACATTCATACTCGCTTACATACACCTGTTCATATACTTTATTGCAGAGAATAAGACAACATACTTAGTACACTCCCAATACTCATCGAAATAATTAAAAAAATGCACATCAAACTGTATTTGATCCATGCGTGTTCTATGCAACGTAACTGAATGTGTGTGTGTTCCTGCGTGCATGCAGCTGTTTAAGGCCTCTTCTGCCAACGAGTGGAAGACGATCAAAGTGAGCGACATGTTTGAAGAGAGCGATGAAGAGGTGTTCGTCAAGTGCAGCACCTGGACGGCTGACGGCAAACGCATCATATGTGCAGCCAGGAACGCTGCTCTGGTGAGCTATTGTGAACATTTGCATTAATATCGTTATATTTGAATGAGTGGACTGGATGCTGCTGTTTGATGTGTATGGGGTATTTGAAAGATAAGATAAGTACATATTAAATACATTATTAAAAAGTGAAATATATACAATATATTGACCGTGTAAGATATAAATCTGTAGACTATCTGTCAAATAAACACTATAATAGGCGAAATTATGACTAACAACATTTTAAAGTAACATATTATTTATATTAAGTCTGCAAAGAATAGCATCTTAAATTAAATATGAATGTCAAAGTGTGAAGACACTTTATACAGATGGATGAAGAACGGTTTTGAACAGTGATGTTGTAAATGATTTGGACGATGATCCATCTTGTCGTACATTCAAGATTCAAAAACTTTATTGCCACATGCACAACAGCTACAGCGTAGTTTTTGCAATGGAAATCTTAAGGCTCCTCCAACAATAATATACCTCAGACATGACACAATAAAAATAGTGCAAGAAGAAACAGGAATAGAATTAAAATAGTGCAGGAAATGGTGAAAGTGACACAGTGCAATTCAAATGTGAAGATGAATTCTGTCCAGTGTAATGATATATAAATGTGTGAGCTTTAAACAGATTTATAAACATCCACTATCCTCTCTAACAAATGTAGACGTAGAGGACAGCCACATCAGTTTGGTCTCAGCATTAAAGATGAAAATGCAACATGGAAGGTGTTCTCTTTGTCCTCCCTGCCCTTTATCTCGGTGTGTCTTTTTATTGAGGGAGACAGGGAAGAGAGGCTGTTTGTCACTTTGTCTTCCAGAGAGTCTAAGGTGTGTGTGTCCTGGTTTTAAATGCGAGGAGCCCCTCCCCTGCCGAGCTTTCCAAAATCAGTCAGTCTTGTCCTGCAATCAGACTGTCTGTGTCCTCTACGTCTACATTTGTTAGTATTCTGGGAAACATCCCAGCAGAGATGTCTGAGTTTGTCCCTCTGACTTTCAGGAGAGGAACACAAGACATTATGGAAGATCACTGCAAAATCTAAAATACGCATTTGACCTCTTATCTGTAGTGTTATTTATCAATACAGATTAAGGTTAGAGTTTATGTGAGTGTTGGAAATATTGGCCGTTTAGATTTCTGATTCCTTTCGATTATACTGAGATTATATTGGTACTCGAGTTGTGGTACTCAAAGCGACAGAAAATCCAACATAATATCACATACATAGATAGATATATTGTCAACAAAACAAAATGCAAACATGTTTGAGGTTATTAGGAAACATCTTTCCAACAATGGCCGATATGTATGGAAATGTATTATCCAAAAGAATAAAATTGTTGCTTTTTAAATACGCCTTAAGTTGTGAAGGTAGCCCCTGCCAAGTAGAGTCTGATGTGTTTTTGTGGCTGAGTTTCAGATGTTTGACGTGGAGACATCAGACATGTTGTTGGAGATCAAAACTAATCGTCTAAGCACGGTGCAGTTCTGTCACGCCTGTCCTACCAGCAACCTGCTGGCTATCGCCTTCTCCAACTACGCTGTGGAGGTATAACACACACACACTGCAGATTACACACAAACAAACAAACAAACAAACAAACAAACAAACAAACTGTATATTATAGTCTTATTTATGATCTAATATGTCAAAAACATGAATAGATCCTGTTTTAGAGCAGTGTTTTTCAACATTTGTTGAGCCACGGTACATTTTATACATAAAAAAAATCCCGCAGCACAACAACAACCGAAAAAGTTACTAAATGACACATTTGAGCCTAATACAGCACATATATAAAATGGTGATTAAATGACAAGTCTCTCAATCTGGCTACGAGTTCAGCTCTCTTGATGGTTTTTCTCATAGTTAACCGTTTCTCAGTTTAACGCAGGCGAACAAAATAGTCTCTGTTCTTGTTTTGAAGTGACAGGTGTTTCATTTGGAGATGAAGTGTACCCTTGCTTGGGACCATGGCACTGTTGGATTGTATTTGCAGCAACTAAATCATATTTTTTTGGACCGACTGAGTGAAATTGGACAATTCTCACGGCACACCTGGCGATCTTTTACAGCACCATGGTGTGCCACGGCAGATTTGTACTTTTATTATGTTGAAAAATTAATATATGAATTGTCTTTAAAGCATTATTTCCTCTATGTCAAATGTGTCTGCATCTGTTTCTGCATTGTTACTGCACTGATGTGTCTAAAGCTAATATTTTACCAGTGAATAGCTGTACATTATTTCCTACGTGTGTCTTCCAGCTGTGGGACCTGGAGAGCAATAATAAGGTAGCAGACTGCAGCGGTCACCTGAGCTGGGTGCAGCGCGTGGAGTTTTCTCCTGACGGCTCCCAGCTGCTCTCCTGCTCCGACGACCAGACTGTCAGGGTGAGGCTGACTCAGCGTGTGTGCTGCTTTGTGTGTGTCTGCATCAGTGTGTGTGTCTGCATCAGAGTGTGTGTCTGCATCAGTGTGTCTGTTTGCTCTGATACTGTCAGTATTCTTCTAATTACTGCTTGTGAAATTAAAACAATGCCAACACAGAACATGACAAGTTCAGTAATCCCCCTCCGCCTGCTGTTAAGTTTCAGCTCAGGAGTTATGTGTTCAAAAATCTAACTTTATTTTCTATGAACGAAAGCATTGTATTAGGAACTGTTTTAGGTCAGAATATAAATAACGAATATAAAAGGATGTGTTATAAAAGAAACTGGAGTTCTATGCAGCTGTTGTCTTGACTGGCTTCAGGCTTTTGTCTCTGTTATTGAGGTTATGTAAACTGTTAGCTGATTTATGCTGACTCGTTGCTCCCTTGAACATGCAGTATTGGCCATAAACAAGCTGTACAATTAAGTCTTATATTAAATCTTTATTTGCAGATTAACCGTTATGAATGGCTGTAACACATATTGTTGTTTGAAGGCGGTTGAAAAAAATGAGATAAAAAGTATTTTGATGCAAATGAAAGCTGTCAATACACGCTTTATCAATTTAAATGACAAACTTAAGATGTCAGAATATATAACTTAAGACTCTCTATTTTACCCAAATCTTAAGATTTTATTTTGGTGAAAGTATTCTACAGTAAGCTGTATGTTCCGAATCAGTGTTATAAATGAGTCTTCTAAAAAAACGTATAAATAATTGATTAAAAGACAAGTAATAATTGTTAAAAAAAGTAAGAATAAATCAAAACCAGGAAGTATCAGTAACTGCAAAGCAACTTTAGACTGGATTGCAGAACTAAAGTTCTTCTAAGGGTCAGTTTTTAAAAGTTGTTCCAAATAGCTACACTACTAAGAGGTGAAAAGCCAGCAATCATAGACAGGTGAGGAGAAACAATATAATAAAAAAAATGGGATAATAGCCTCCATCTAATCCTGTCAAACCCAATGAGGAAATTCAGTTTTACGGGCCGTATACTGATGATTTATGTATTGCCACAGACAGGTTATTCCCAGTTTGTCTCCACAGAAAAAGACCAAATATCAATAGGCAACGTCCCTGTCTATGAAAACACATTTTCGTGCCAAGATGTTCTCACCCAAGATGTTTTCCTCTGCATAAAAACAGCTTACAAAGTAGTGATTCAGGAAAACAACCACACCAACAGTGAATGCTGGCGTTATCTCTTCCAGTGTAAGTTAATATTAAGCCTGTTTCCTGTCTTGTGTTTATTGTAGTTATGGGAGACGAAGAAGGTGCACACCTCTTCAGCTGTCTGCCTGAAAAGAAACTCTGACGTTCTCTTCAACGATGAAGAAATCATCGTGTCAGCTGCAGACAACTGCAACAGACTGCAGGTGAGCCGGAGGGAAAATACAAAGAGACACTGAAGCAATGAATAATGGTTGGAGCCGACATTTTGTTTTCTTTGGTTTTAAGTGAAGACAAGATTTACGGTACTACGATGTGCTTTCATCAGGTTTAGGTTAGGTTAAGGTTAGTTTATTTATATACCACCCTTCAGACACAAAGGCAAATCGAAGTGCTTTACATTGGCACTAACACATCATAATTACAAACTAAATATTTTTTCATAAATTATAAAGGAATACGGTAGTTAAAAAAATAGATATGGTAAATACAGATAATGCAGCAAAAAGTGCTGAAGTGCGATGATAAAGCATATTTATATTATCTCTGTAAAAGCAGCATTAAAGTGATTTAAATAACCCAGGGTCAGGGCAGACCTCAGGTGTGGATGAATCTGGTTCTGACCCTGGCCTGGGGACAATGTGTGCTCCTGTTGTCATAGAATGTGTGTGTCTTTCTGTGTGTGTGTGTGTGTGTGTGTGTGTGTGTGTGTGTGTGTGTGTGTGTGTGTGTGTGTGTGTGTGTGTGTGTGTGTGTGTGTGTGTGTGTGTGTGTGTGTGTGTGTGTGTGTGTGTAAGGTGCGTGATGGCCGCACAGGGTCGGTTCTGTTCCAGTCGGAGGAGATGTCGTCGAGGATCCGCTGCACCTGCATGTGCAGACAGCCCTCTGCTGTGGCTCTGGGTCAGCAGGATGGCACTGTACAGGTAGAACACACTTACACCTACAGTACATCCTGAATGAGTTACACAGTGGTAAAAAGTGACTTTAATTATAGACACTTCATTTCATTTCTGATGCTGAAATGACAAGTCGATTCACACACAGTAAAATTAACAACAACAATCTTTATCAAGCAAAAATGAACCATAATCAATAAGTGGTTTTAATTCTACATGATCAAATATATGGATGTTGTGCTCTTCTTTGATCCGAATCGGAAATGGTTTGCCCATATAAGGAATTTGTCTTGGTGATAAGGAGCATAACAAAAAAACTGTGCAAAAGTCAAGAGACATAATTATAAAATAGGACCATTTGCAGTAGAAAAGATAAATACATCAAAATATGTATCTGTTTTTAGGTTAAAAGAGTTGTACAGTTTCTGCAGGAATGTGTCAAATATTGAACAGGGGGTGTGAAAAATGAATTAATTCTTATTCATATATTACATAATATATATATATTATTATTATGTTTGGATTATAGAGTGTTGATCAGGAAAAAAAAAAAATTTAAAACTTAAACCTTGAACTGGAAAAATTACATTTTCACCATTGTGTGTAGGGCTGTGATTAATCTGCTTTATTTTCATGAAACGTTTTGCATGCTGTTAGTTAAAATGAATTAATCACAATTTCACTTAAATGTATGTTAGTGTGTGCAAGAGTCCTCATGTGTGTGTGTGTCTCGATTCCTTGTGGCTGCCGGAGGTGTTTTTCAGACCATGTTGAGTCATGAGATCTGACATTAGCACTGTCACCCTTCTTATCCGTCCTGTCAGCTGTACGTCAGGTCAGCTCACCCCCCCTCTTTCATCTCCCTCTCCCTCCTCCTCTCTCCTCTCTGCCTTTCCTTTCACCTGCGATTTGTATTCTCTCCACTCCTGCTCCCACACACTTTACCATCTCTGTCACATCACTTTTTTTATTCCCTCTTTTGTTTTGTTTATGTCTCCTCCTCCTTTTGTTCCGCCTGTCCCTCGGCTCCCCTCCTTTTGGTGATACATTGATGTGTTTGCAGGCTGAGAATGAGTTCATAGTCTGCGTTGTGGCAGGTGTGAGTTCTTTAGTGTGTTGCTTTTTATGGACATATTGCACCAGTGAATGTCATCAGTGAAAGTTCCTGTCCCATATTAATAATACACATGGTCCCCTGAGATATGACCAGGCCAGTGTCCTACTACAGAGCAACACTAATTCATTAAAAGGTTTTGCAGGCTTATTGAACATAGGTGTTAATGATTTTTAATTACTCCTGACCCTAGAGATATAAGAGGAAAGGATTAGTGGAGATAAGGACTTAAAGAAGAACAGATGATTACTAATCTGAGGTCTTTAAAGTAGGAGAGGCTGGAAAATAGCACTAAAGGAGAATGACATGCTTTCAGTTGATGACAACATGTATTTCAAGATCCTATCAGAATTTTCTGTGATAAGCATTTCATTTTAACATAAATTGAAGCTGTTCATCCTATAAATTTAAACCTACTAATGTACTTCGTTGCAATTTTGAAACATGTAGTGTTGTTAAGAAAGTCAAAAAAATTACCAAAATGTGTACAGGTTACCAAAAACGGTCAAATACTGAAAGCGGGTCTTGTATTTCTAGTCAGATTTTATCTGTCAGTTAATGATATTAGTCAAAACTTTGCCAGTTTTAATTTTTAAATTTTTAATAAGGTAAAGTCCTCTTACAGTTGCTGACAATATTTGAATTTGAGAGGCTTCTTTTTTTACGCGAGGAATATAAAATACTAGCAACTTCATTAATTGTAGGGAAAGCATCTAACATTATTTGTTTCCACTGTTATGGATTAAGTCCTTTTTAAATTCTTCCAAATGATTTTTCTTTCTGGTTTGAACATTCAATTTAAGCATATTGAACATTTATAGTTTGTGTTTCATACTTTATAAGTTACCTTTAACATATTTATATACATTAAAGTGTTATTAATCTCCATGGAATCCACACTGTTGTAGTCCTGTAAACAGCCACCAGAGAGAGCCTGATGTCAGCTGGAGGCTCTCTGCTGCCTGTGACCACTGCAGGAGAAGGCACTCATCCCCTTTCCCCTTATCTGGAGTTATTTACAACCACTTAACTGGAGGAGAAATAATTTATCATCTTCAATGTCAGTGAGACTTAACATCTTTGCTCTGCTGATGGGAAGAATTTCTGACTTCTAAGGTGTGCAGGCAAGGACAGAAAGTTACAGGACAGTGAGTTTCTTTGCCATGGAAAAGGTGCAACTGTGAGTGTGTGTGTGCGCCTGTGTGTGTGTGTTCTGTGCCAGGGAGCTAGACTGACAGCTAGTGAGGTACTGAAGACAGTTTGCTGCAGGATCCTCCGACTTCTGACCTCCTTCAGAGGAGTGATGCTGGCTGTAGGGCTGAGCTCAGGCAGCGTGCAGGTATGGTAGGGAAAGAGTCTTATCTGTATGTGTAAAATAACAAACATGTATAGTGTGTATTACTTTTCAAAATGTTCCTAATAACTGATATTGTCCAATCCTACAGATCAAGCCTCAACACTGACCTCTTTTATCAATTTTTCACAAGTTCTGCCACTTTTTAGCTACTTTTTAAAGGTCACCTATTATGCAAAATCCACGCTTTCACGTCTTTTATACATAAACGTGTGTCCCCTCTGTGTAAAGGGATTCTGAAAGTTTCAGGAGAAAAGATTCTCTCTTTTTGTTCTGATCCATTTATATAAAAATATGTCTGAAAATGAGCTGATCAGATTTTGGCCACTTTATGATGTCATAACGATTTTTGCTTGTGTAATCATTAACCAATCACCAACCAAGGTAACCCCCCCCCCCCCACCTTATCACCTGAATCTCCTCCTAGAGCACCATTGTGTTCTTTTTAACCAAATATCTCTCAGAGGGCGTGGGGAGTGTCTCCTTATTTTCATCTAAAGTAACAGACAGAGAATCAGCACTTTTGAAACAGGGCTGAAACAGAGGGGATTATGGGATGCTGCAATGCATGATCTGTTTGGTGTTTCAGAGACATGTTTTGTATATATCTGAGACCTATAATATATTGATGAAAAACAGTATAATAGGGGACCTTTAACACATTTGGTAGTAGTAATCGAAAACAACTAATCCCCATCTTTCGTTCTTTATATCTTTACATTATCCTGCACCATCACAGGACATCTGGAGCAATATGTGTGAATCTCTCCGGCTTTGAAACGTCTCTCAGTACATGGAGCTTGACAAACATGGCCGCCGTGCCCCCAGGCTTGTTCCGCTCAGACATTACATCCTTCTCCTCTGAGATGTTAATATTTTAGTGGCTGGCAAAATCCCAAGCATTACTTCTCTGTTGTACTTTCAAAACTATAGGTGCCGTGCTGAACACAATGTTGTGCGTTCTTAAATTATTTTTTTTTATCAAATGATGGATTTATATTTAGGTTAATTAGAAAAATGGAAGTGCTGAAAAATATTGTATAATCTATACCCATGTTTCACCTCATTATACCTTAATTAGCCTTCTTTGTGCTAGTCATTGATAGGTTCATTCCAGTGGTAAATATTGCAATTCAGCTTCTCCAACGGTTATGTTTTGCTGTTAGTGAGTTGGGTAGAAAACAAACTTTTTTCTTGCAGCTATCCCAAGATTTTTCTTCTTTTGATCATCAAAGCTGTTTTGACAGGACTTAGGA